AGGTCTATTGCGCAACCGCTTTCCCGCCATCATCGTCACGATCACGTCAAATGCGTCCGAGCCACTTCGTGTCCCCGTCCGAGAGGACCAGAAGGTGAAATATGGCGTTTGAGCCACTCCCGCTGCGAAGCAGGGTCGCCTGACAAGCACAAATTACGTGAATAGATTTTCATAAAAATCGCTTTACTCCAAAGGTTTCAGTACTTTGAAATGTCAAGATGATCTAGTGGCCCTACCTGGAGAGAATTTCGGAAGCTTAAGTTAGAGCACTAAAATATTAAAACAAGAAATTGTGATTCCCTTGTGAGGAATGGCGGGTGCTTGATGAAAAATGGAGAACGCACAAGTGTCTCTTCCCAGGTGGAGTTTTCTACATTTATTAATTGATCTGAGGGCGGAATCTAGTCCTCCATTATGGCTCGGTATAATGAAGAAGATACGGCGCGCATTCGGGAATATTTTAATGAACAAACGCCAAGATCGTTTTTTGGGCCAATTCCGCTCGGTAATTTACAATTAGTCTGTCTTTCTTATCTAAAATAAAAACTGTAATTAAGTAAGAAATTGGGCTTTTTGTGTTAGCGATGGTGATTAGTAATGACGGTCTATTCACGGGAAGAATTATCAGAAAATTGTTCTTATGAAAGGGGGGGGTGGAAATACGGACATTCCGCGTGACCTCCGGCTACCCCGGCGACGACGGCGAGCCTGTAAATTATCCCTACCGTGTTGTTAATTGAACGCCGCCATTGTTGTTAGCCAAGGCGAGCCGAGGACCGATCGGTTATTCGGCGCTTCGGCCGCTTCCTCTGATGACGAAATGACAAACGGTGAGCTGGTGGGGAGAATAAATAAATAAAATAAAATACTTGGAAGGGGGAGTTGAAGCGGCGGGAGGAGGCGGCTCGGAAAAACCCGGCTTTTCAATTACTGCACTCAAGAGGTTAAATCAATAAAATTTAAATTGCTTATGGTAATCACCTGCGCTCCAATCACTGGGATCAGCATAAGCAATCTGCTGACCCCAGCCATGCTCGGCAACTGATTGAAACATATGAAGACGAGTCAGCTGGCTGCAAGGGTCGGCGGAGATTAAAACCCGCGTCTATTTATTTGTTTGCGTGACCCGCCTGGCCTTTTGATATTTCTTATTAGCAGAGGAGGACTTTTTTTTTTTTAAATGCAAAATGCCGGGCTGAGAACTTTCCGGAGGCCCGCGTAATATGCGACGTGGCCATTGCAAGTGAAGGAAAATACACAGTGGGGGTCAAGCGCATAAAGTTTTTTTGCCACAACATTAACTTGTGCTCACGACCACCGATTTAGATGGACGTGTAAACAATATTTCATACATTTTTTTTTTTTTAAATGCAAAATGCCGGGCTGAGAGCTTTCCGGAGGCCCGCGTAATATGCGACGTGGCCATTGCAAGTGAAGGAAAATACACAGTGGGGGTCAAGCGCATAAAGTTTTTTTGCCACAACATTAACTTGTGCTCACGACCACCGATTTAGATGGACGTGTAAACAATATTTCATACAAAATAGGACTTTTGTGTCCAAAAGAAAAAAAATAAAAAGCCACTGCAGAGACGCGGCTATTTTGTATTTATTTATTTTAATACACAGCAATTTCACGCCTTGAGGAAAGTCAACGAGAAGTTAAACACTGACATTCATTCGTTGTAGAGCCACTCTTGAAAAGTTGCAAAATGCTGAACGTGCAGCGTCATTTATTTATTTTAATACACAGCAATTTCACGCCTTTAGGAAAGTCAACAAGAAGTTAAACACTGACATTCATTCGTTGTTGAGCCACTCTTGAAAAGTTGCAAAATGCAGAACATGCAGTGTCGGGGGTTGGCGTGCGCAATTGAAATTTCATTTGTACATATACCGCACGACTATTCACAAGGATTTCGCCGTACGGAGTGTCGGCTTTTCAAAATTCGTGCATATGCATTCCCCCGGGTGGGTCATGGGGGGGTAGTGAGGTGAGGCATAAGGAGGAAGTGTTTATGGGGTCTTTTGTATGGATGAAAACTGCAGAGAAAAAGATTTGGACCACGGAAGCGGCATCCGCGAGCATTGATTTTGCCTTGTGTGGGTTACTTTTTTTACTCTAAATGTTAAAATAAGAATGACAGTGGTCCCTTGACCGATTTAAATCCAAATTTCCCCAATTAAATCACTGGAGACAGTCACTCATTTGTAGCCATCTCTATGCAGAGGATAAAGAATATAGGCAGGCGTGAATGCTATGATATTATCTGTCTACATGTGTTGCTCCAGCGTTTTTTTGTTCAGATATCTGTCGCTTAAAACACCGTCACATTGGTGCCATTCATTAGCCGGTTTCCCATTATGTATTAGCATTAAGCTAGCAGATATAAAGGCTGACCAAAATACATTATTTGTAATCAATAATTGATGATTTCAGCAAAACTAAACTGCATGTCTTGCCACCATATGAAGGAAAAAGATTTTTTGGGGGGCACTCATCAATAAGTTGAAGTATTATTAGTCATTCTTTACAGAGGATGAAGAATATAGGCCTGCATGAATACTAGGATATTATCCATCTACGTGTTTTGCTCCATTGTTTTTTGTTCAAATATCTGTTGCTTGAAACACCGTCACATCGGTGCTATTTATAGCCTGTCTATGCTGTTTCCTATTATCTGTTAGCATGAAGCTAGCAAACGTAAATGACAAGCTAAAAGATGAACCAAATTCCGTGAAACGAAACTGCATGTGCCTTCACCATGCAAGATTAAAAAAAATATATATCAAGATTTTTGTGGCCTCAAAATGTCCACCTGATGGCACCCAATTGATTCCCATTCGCGTAAATCACCCCCACTATCTTCTCATTGCATTACCAGGACCTTAAGGTGCCGCTGTAAGATATAAATATCTGCTTCATCTCCGCGTGGAGCGTGACTTTGAAGTTGTGTCTAATTAAGCGGCGATGCGGTTAAAAAGCTGAGCGGGAAAAAAAAAAAAAAGACACCAGGCGGATCCCGAGCATGTGGATGACAGTTAATGAAGCGCAAGACACAAAAGAAAAAGAACAGACATCGTGATGTGACTTTTTTATTTTTTTCAAACGCACGAGGCGTCTAATCAGGCTGTCATACATGAAATATAGAATTGATGACACACGGAGTATCAAAACTGGATCTGTGCATGGGCAAAGTCTGCCTAATTAGCTGATTTCGAATGCATGTCTTGGTTTAAATGTTCCTCCCAGGCTGTACGCAGAAGGAAGGTTGTGCTTGACGAATGTGTGAACAATCCCCTCCCCAGCCCCCCCCCAAAAAAAAAATGTTGACTACAAGTTTCACTGAGTTCCTGACCTGCATGCACATGAAACAACAGACATTGAAATGTGTTCTACACTGTAATGTCTATTACAGTGTAGTCTTGACAGCATTTTAAATCATAAATAAAATAGAGTATGGAGTATGCGCCTTGTCCACCAGGGGGTAGAACAGTATACGTACATATATACATTCATATATACATGAAGAAGAGTGTCATAACTGCTCAGAAAGCTGCATTATTTTTTTTCTACACAGAGGATAAAGAATAGAGGCCTGCGAGTATCATTATATTGCCTGTCTATCTGTGTCTCTGCACCGGTTGTATTCTAATATAGTTGCTTCAAGCCCGTCGATGTCATTTTTCATTCGTTTGAGCACATAAATTGGTAGTTTGTGGCCTCTCATTGGTAGTTTGCGGGCACTCATGAGTAATTTTTGTGCACTAATGCTGTTAGCAATTCACGCGGCACAAATTAGCTTTTATGCCCCCCGGGCTGCATACATACGCAAAATGTAAGAAGTTAGTTTTGCAGGCAGACTTAGCATTACTAAATAGTGGGCGTGTCCATGGTTGTTAGTTAAAGATGGTGTTGGGTGGTTTTACTCCGCCCTCCCCCACATCCCCACCCCCCGCCGCCTCCTTCTCCCAAGTTGTGAAATGCTTGGCTTGTCTGAGGAATGAGAGACCCTGAAGGGCCAAGGGTCCCGAACAAATGAGCGCCCATAAAAAAAAAATAAAAAAAAATCCTCTTCTACTTATACAGAAACAGGACACAATGCAGACAAGCAGCCGCCCAAAGCAGCCTTCATGGTAATTTCATCCCACTATTTGCAGTGCCCACCCATGGGTTTCACTGCTCTGGATTGACGCCAGTCACCTTCATGTGCAGCGAGAGGCATTCATCATATCAGTGGCTGACACACTGTAGCAAAACAAGTCCGCGCATTTTTGGAGGGGTGGCGGGGGTCTAAGCGCTCTGACGAATAAGCAAATGGCGGCGCTAAAACGGAGTTCTGTTCACGCGGGTCAATTAGGCAGCGAGTGTTTAATCGTGTGACATTCAGCAGGGGTGTTTTTTGCAGCGGTTTGAAATGAAAGAAAAGCAGCGTTGTGGGGATTTGCCGTGGAATGTTCGCAGCTAAGCTAATGAAGTTAATTGCTGGAGCTGAGGCGCTTTTATGAGCTGCACCTGGTCCATAAATGATTTCCTAATGAGGAAGCAACCCGGTTGACTTTTCAAATGCTGCCCTCTTGTGGCGGGGAGAAACACTTTTGAATCGTCACAGGGGAAGGATTGATCTGTCGTCGTCGTTTTTTTTTTCTCATGACAAATAAAAAAAAAAAATTGGTGACTTAAAATGAATGTATATCATAATAAATCGTCATATTCTGTTTCTTTGTCCTTAATTAAATTAAAATAAACAGGGCAGCAAATAAAATCATAAAAAGTGGGATTATATGGATGACTTAAAATAATATATATTTTTTTACATACCGTATCTAAAATATCAACCACGACAGTTTCACTTTCTGATTGCTTCTTTTGTGGTTCAATTTAAAAAAAAAAAAATACAAAACAGACTTGCAGTTTTTGGTTGATGTGTCATGTTCACTTGCTTGGTGTGTGAGCGTCATGCACCAGGTTTTTTTTTTTTTTTGCGAAGGCCCGCTCCACTCAAGTGTGCGCAGGGATCCGAGACCTAAAAATAACGAATGGTGATATACATAAAAATAGTTGGAGCAACTTAATGGGAGTCTGTCTTTGTGCTTCATCATGGTCTCCAGAGGATGAATAATGTACTTGATGCGAAGAACGTGACCAGACCATCCAGCACCGAGTCAGGCAGAGCGTCATTGTTGTATTTAATTTCACCAAATCCATTTTTCCAAATTTAACAAAACAGTAGGTCTAAGAAAATAAAAAAAATAAAAAAACTCTATCAAGCAAAACAACAGTCAACAACCAGACCCGGATCGCATTTCTTCCACTGCTTGTAATATTCTCCTGACGGACTTTTGCTTTATAAGTAGCATTAAAGTACAATCGATAGCTCCCCGGCTCCCCCTGCAGTTGTAAAGCGTAATTTACTTTTAAGACGCTGCGGTAAATACCGCTCAACAGTGGGAAATGTGCATTTCGTAACTCAATGACTTTTTTTTTTTCTTTGTTTTTTTTTTTTTTTTTTTTTTGTTCCTCACCACACAGGCATGAAAAGCAAAGACCTGTCCAAAGATCAGATCGACACGATTGCCTGGAAGGCCTTCTTCCACCAGTTGTGGAATGCAGCAGGAGGCGCCCAGACAGGTCCCTTTATTGCCAATGATCAAAGTACTGTTAAGAACATAACATCAGACTCGATTTTGAGATTCCAGATCTGGCAGAAGACGATCCTGAATCAACCATGGGGTGGTCTCTTCAGAAACAGACCAGAACATAAAACTCCGACTCGGTGGCAGTGAGAAGACCCGCTTGGTGGCAATGGACCAGCCCCCGAGTCAAATTCTGAATGTCTGTGGGCCAGTTGACAAAACTCTTTTTTTGGAAGGGCTTCTGGAATTACTGATGCAATTCCCTCTTTAAATTTGTTAAAAAACTTTTATTAGACCCAAAAATAGTTGCCAAATTATTGAAGTGAATATTTGAACAGGCCGAATGAATGAACAAACAAATGGCCAGCATGAAAACACTTAAAACGACAATTTTCTCAGGCAGAATTTCAGTTTGATCTTTCAAATGCAGAAAATGGTCACGGTGCAGCGGCTCTCGTCATCAGATCACGAAAACCTGACTGAAGGTGTTGTAGGCCATGGAAATGGTGGCTGCCAAGCCCACGAGAAAGGACAGAGCCCTGCAGGGCTGAGGAAAAGCCCCGACGTAGGAGATGGTGTGGAAGATCCGAGAACCGGCAAAGATCCGGAAATGAAGCAAGGCGGCCGGGAGTTCCGGTCCACTCAGGGCGTAGAACAAGCCGACCAGCACGAAGGGAAGAACGTTTTCCAAGTCATTCAGGTGACACCTGATGAACAAAAAAAACGCATTACCGAAATGAGGAAGAAGACAGTCATAAGTTTCGTGAAGTGTATTGAAACAAGTAGCTAGCTTAATTAGCATCAACAGGTTAGCATTATTGGTCCACTGGTTTATCCGGTGACTCGACAAATACGTCTGTTTTTTTTTTGTTGTTGTTGCAATGTGACAAATGAAAGCTATCTCAGCAGACTTTTGACTCACCTACGAACTCGCTCGACATCTGGGTGGGTTCTCAGCAGTTTCTTTCTCTCTTCCGCAGGCTTAAAGGCCACATCCTCCTCCGTGGCAAAAGACTAAAACGTGGACGCGGGCAATGAAATGAGTTCATAGTCATTGAAGAGACACAACTCGGGTTCGACCTACCCCTTTCCTGAAGCGGTAAAAAGTAGTCAAAGGTGACATAAGCATCATCTTCAGGATGACGATAAGTGCGTAGGTGCTGAAAGCCTTGAACACCTCATCTTGCATCAGCTCCAACATGGTGACTGCTCTACGGCGAATCCAAAAAGACGATTATTAAGTGCGAATGACGAAAAGCAAATATGTACACAAACAACTGTATCGACCAGCCTACTTGCTCGTGTGGTGTCAGTTTCAGCGAGACAAGACCGGAATGTGTTACGTAACGCAAGTCAACCTTTAACCCATTCCCTCCGGGGGGGGTGGAGTCGGCCAACGTTGTAAAAATGAATGTGAAGCCAGATGATCGGCAAGCGTGTCTGTAATGCGATCCTGCGAGGTCTGCTTTGTTGATTGCGCAAGACGAGGTGAGAGGTTGAAGCAGGACAACTTGCGGCAACAACGTGTCTGCTCACAGTACCCTGAGCAGCCGACAGTTTGTGGCTGAGAAGAACGTTGCCTGACCGATGTACGAGTTGCTAAACATATTCTGAGGATAATATAATGTTTGCATTTGTCAAGCTAGCTACCGATTGCTGTGAAACCTTTGAAAGCTCAAATTTGAGCAATTGAATGTTTTAGCATGCTTTATAGCACCACTGATGAGATACTTTTTGAAAAAGAAAAACGCAAATGCTTTCGTGAAAAAAATATTTATTTGTCAAGTCATTCAGGTGAATATTTGAATTGCTCATCACAAATAAATGTCGGGCATGAAAATTCTGCACGATGTTTGGATGTTGGAGCAGGTTCAGTCACATCAATTCAGAGACTCGTTTCCGCTAACACTGTGCGAAGATAATTGCTGAAAAGTGCAAAAAGTTATGGTTAGAAAGCATTTGGCCTATTATTGATTCCATAAGACCCCGCGGCCCCATTTTTAAGAGCCCGAGGCCTTATTTACGCATCAGTGGTTACCCGGCGTAATTGCGTATTAGATAACAGTACTAGCTAGGCACATTTCTACCACTGGACTTCAACTTGTAGTTAGCTAGCTAGCTATGCCTAGACCCTGAAAAAATATCTTCCTGCAAGTTACAGAAAAGCTTTGTGTTGTTGTTGTTGTTTGATTTAATAAGCAAAGAAACTCTTTGTGTCGCATCAGTGGTTACCCGGCGGAATTGCGAGTTAGATATCAGGACTAGCCAGGCCCATTTCTACCATTGGACTACAAATTGTAGTTAGCTAGCTAGCTATGCCTAGACCCTGAAAAAATATCTTCCTGCAAGTTACAGAAAAGCTTTGTGTTGTTGTTGTTGTTTGATTTAATAAGCAAAGAAACTCTTTGTGTCGCATCAGTGGTTACCCGGCGGAATTGCGAGTTAGATATCAGGACTAGCCAGGCCCATTTCTACCATTGGACTACAAATTGTAGTTAGCTAGCTAGCTATGCCTAGACCCTGAAAAAATATCTTCCCGCAATTTACAGAGAAGCTTTGTGTTGTTGTTCGATTTCCCAAGCAAAGAGGTGAAAGGAAATGCATGGCGGGCTCCTCCATGGACGTGTTATGTAATCTTGCGAGCTAGCTAGTTGCTAGCACCTCTTGTCGTAACGGGTAAAGCCCCATGGATGACCTGATGGGATATATTGCAGCCAGCGGAGGCTGATATATTTCCGCAGCTCAAACATTTCAGGTTTTGTAGTAATCAGAGAGATGCTAGGCTAAGTAGCATTAGCGAGGGGTGATTTTAGCTATCTGGCAATATAAAGGGTCTATATCGAATGTCATTTTTAAATTGAGATGACTGTGAGCCCGCAAACAAAACCAACTAGCAAAGTGTCAGGAAAATTCAATTCTCCTCATGAAACCCAAAGTGTTCTTTTCCTCCTTGGTGATTTCCACGGCCGCGTTTAGTGCCGTCTTTCCTTTCCGTCAAACCTCAGTCAACACGCACTCTCCAGACTGCGGCTCGACCCGAGCTGCACGGTAGTCAGAATCACTTTTGTCTCAAACTCTTGTCATTTCGCTTTAATCAAGCGCGCGTCATGTCGCAGTGTTTGGGAGCCAGGTGCTTGAAACACCCCGCGCTTGAACAAAGAGCCATGCCTTGCCAGCGTGCCGGCGCTTTTGAAAAGAGCGTGCAAAACACCTGCCAGTCACTTTCCAACAAGCCCGGCACAGGCACTTTGTTGGGCGCCCGTGCCAGTATGGGAGCGGAATCGTCGACTGTTGTCGGATGCATCAGCTGCCAAATAGAAACAGAATGTTGGGAGTTTGTCTATATGGCCCAAGGCGTATTTTCCATGATTTTGACACGCTGATACATGTGGAAGCGTGAGACTAATAACAGGTGACACGCAAGCCATCGATGTTAGTTATTCGGCGCCTGACGTTTTCCCCCGTGCTCTTTGCTTTGAACAGGAAAAAAAGGGAGGGGGGGCTTGTGTTTGCGCAAAACAGATTAATGCCCGCTGTGTCGGCCATTTTTGAGTGCTCATCATTCATACGAGCGTTACACAAGGTAGGGTATTCAAATTGGTTTTGTTTTTAGAATTGCGGCGAGGCAAGAACCAAGGAAGTGCTCATTTTGACAGACTCAAGCACAACAGAATGTCACTTCGACAGCCATCTCAATATGCCCAGGGACGAAAATGGGAATATGCTACATTTTGTTTGTTTTGAAAAAATTTGCATCAACCATTTTGATGGGGAAAAAAAACACCGAAGCAAAATTATGATTTTTTTTTTTTTTTCCAATCCTTGCCCGCCGCTCACCCCAAAAATTAACTGCTGGATATATTTTCACCAAAACAAAAGGGCATGAACACACTCTTAACCAATATAGCACATAAATAAAGAGTAAATAAACATTTTTTAAAATTATTTTTCTGCTTCCAATGTTTTTCCTCTCGACCAATAAATGCATCGCCGAGCCCAACGAGAGTCGGCGGCAAACTATTCTCCTTCCTCTTATTTCTTATTTATTTGCGCGCTTTCAGAGGGCCGGCGTTAGAGCGACCCGTCGTCCTCCTTTTGTGCAGCAGATTCCCCGAGAAAACTAATGTCCCGTGATTTCCCTCAAGGAGTGGTAATGGCTAAAAGCCGCATTGATTCCTTGCCAGCCCTGCCAGTAATTGGGATGCGAGCTGCGCTGTGTTCCCATTGATTTCTCATGGTCGCCAGGTTATGCCGCTGGTGTAGGACAACAATGACTAAATAACAGCCCGGCCAATGATCTTAATGCCACAAGCCAAGCAAAGTTATTGATTTCATTACAGAATGCCTCCTAGGTTCTAGGCACATACATTTTTTTTTTATTGATCACAACCGGTGTCCGCATTACTTTCAGGACTGTCACATGCAGTCGCCAATCAATGAAAGCCGAATTCTGCGACAACGGCGTACTCGTGTCGTGTGGGGGAGGGGGGCAATAAATTTGGCAGCATATAATCAGGATTTGGAAGGTGACCTCCGACTGATGGAATTGATAAACGTAAGCGTTCACCCCCCCACGCCCCCACTGCAACCTGTGGGTTAAACCATAAATATTGCGTGATTAACTTGTCCAATTGGGTTTCATTTGACCCCATTCGCACACTACTGGCCCAAGGGCAGTAAGAAAATAAGAAATCAGATTAGCAGCCAAGCAAGCTCTGATAAGACTGTACTGATGATAGAGTTTTATTTTTTTCATATGAGAATTATATGAACAGAATGGATGGACTGACAGCTGAGTGACGGTTAAATCCACAATACTGTAACAGTCATTTGGTTGATTCTGTGCAATTCTCTTGATGGAAGCTTATAAAGGAAGACTCAAATGTTTCCTTCTGAATCAAATGTGATGAATAAAAATACGTCTTGCCGGTGAATGTATATTGTAAATGGATGGAACAAAATGGGGGTTTTTTTTTGGTTTGTTTTCGCCTTATCGGTCTTGCAGTCGGCCTCTTCTCTCCACTTGGTCTACTTAAGTATGCTCCTCCACCGGTTGGCACGGCTGTACTTAACATGATCAATATGTCTTCATTGACAGGCTATGCACCACAGTCCTTTAAAATAGCTGTAATCAAACCTCTCCTTAAAAAAGAAAAAAAAGATGCTACTCTTTCTCCAAAGGCCTTAATTGTAAACCGATCTTCCTTTTCTCTCAAGACTTTCGAGAAAGCGTTAAGTGGTGTGACTAAGTGTTGCAGAAACTCCCTTCGATGGGTTTAAATCCTACTTTTCAGATCACTTACAGTTTGTACATTTTGGAAATTAAGACTTGATAGAAGATGCACGGTGTACCGCAGGGGTCCATGCTCGGTCCGGTACTATTCAGTCTGTATATGATTCACTTTGGCAATATTATTGGGATAACTCTCCCATTTTTTTTTCTACCGTTGGCGTACATCTTCATTTATTTGTGAAATCTGATGAAACCAGTTATTCAATCTTTGGGTGCCCCGTGACTAAAGCCAAAATTGAAAATTGGAGAAATATTTTTATCGGTTTAGATTTTACTTTAGATTCTCGTCATCACACCATGAGATCAATTCTCCAGAAGTGAATCGGTCGAAAACATTCAATCCGTTGTTGCATGAAAGGGTTAACCTTGCATCAACATATCAGAAAATGTTTATGCTGTTCCATATTACGATGTCTGCCAGAAATCTTAATACATTGTGGCATGCTTTTTTTTTTTTTTTTTTTCAAATAACTCTGCGGCATTTGCACCCATTTACGAGCTCCGGCTCCAATCATTTGTGATTGACAGTATCTTAATCTCAGAAGATGAGTGCTATAACACACATCCAGTCGGTGGGTATATTTATAATGGTTTTCCCTGTTGGTGGTAGGCCGCCCCAGCGCTTGGGGTACTAAAACTACACAACTTTCCCCTCCCGATGTATCTTAATGAAGAAGCTCATTAAGGATCAGCGGTTGCACTCTGCTCTTAATGAGAGCCACACAGCTGCTCATTAGGCGCGGGCCTTTAGGCTTTGTCTTTTTTACTCACTTGCAAACGTGGCCCCCGAACCGTCATTACGTCCACCTTTTTAGCAAGCCATTGTTGAGGTGGGTGATCAAACTCGCGATAGCACATCTGGCAGCATATAAAAACCTTGTCATTGGCTGTTAAGGGCTGTTGTAACATACAGAATAGCGGTAAAAGGTCTGGACATGAATGACGTCCACTAAAGTGAAACACAATGCTGGCATTTATCGACTGGGCGAAATGACATTATGAATAATATTGAACACAGATGGGTTGTCCTGACTACTTTTCGTGCACCGTGTAACCTGATAACAATT